CCCTGTTTGACACCCATTTTTTATCTCATTCTCATTCTCATTTTTCTACAGTACTCATTTCTAACCACACATTCTTCAAATAAAATAATATTACACATAAACCCAAAAATTCTTCTTACTTTTTAACCACACATTCTTTACATCAATCACTATTCAAAAACTCATTTTTCAAAAGAATGGGTGCCAAACAAGCCGGCTAATTTGGTTACCGGCTAATTTTTAATCTTAATTCTGTCTCTTTTATTATTTGGTTACCAGCTAATTTTATTTTGCTCATCTCAATTTCTTAGGACGATTGAGAACCTCACGAGTAACTTATAAGTGAACCCAAACTATCTTAGATTACCACATTAGTAGTCCGTTTTCTTTTGACAAATGCAAAAGATGTCTCTTAATTTTAACAGTGGGAGTGGATAGGGTGACGAAGTTGATATACTCTCTCGAGTCTCTAGCACAGGTTTAGGTTCGACTTAAATGAGGAACGAAAATGGAACACTTTGATTATCTGTTGGAAAACCGAGGGATTAAGAATTGAACAAATTGAGAAATTGGGAGACACTTCCTCTTCTTTTTCCCCTTTTTTATTCCTTTAAAAATACAATCAGAATATATTTCTATCATTTTCGCCGTTAAACCTTCTATTAAATCATCAAATTTAAACCCAAAACATAGCATTTTCTCCTGTTCTTCTCGTAAGAACGAAGTCGTCTAATCCTCTTGTCCTTAATTTTGATATTTTAACTAAAAAGTTGATGTGACAGGAAAGAAATTGAAATGATTGACATTATAGTTATTTATACAGTCAAAATCAGTGCAATGATCAATTGTGACAAGAATCAATCTACAAGTACAAGAAATTTGTACAGAAATTTGAAATAGACAACANAAAGGTTGAGAATAAAAATAAAACAAAAAAAAAAAAAAATTAGAACAAAAATTAAAAAAAAAAAAAAAAAAAAAAAAAAAAAAAAAAAAAAAAAAAAAAACACACATACAAATGCACAAGATGCTAGCATCCTATACAAATACTACATTATGGTAGTCGTAGAATCAACAAGGGATAAGCATTCCAACGACAAGGATAATATTTTGATCTAATAGGCAATGAAATATCGATATATGCGATGAGTATGATGGTCTACCTATATGGCTGTTATTAAGGCGGGTCAATTTCAAAACAAACAACATTCAAACAATTTTTTTTAAGAATCGTGTTTGATATACAATATTTAGTTGACAATATATCACATGACATGTTGGAAGTTTTAAAAATATTTTATCTTTTTTTAATCAGAAAATCACGAGGTACAAGTGCTAATTGCACCAAAAGAAAAAGTGCACAGAAATTCCGTGCACTTTGAAAGTCAAAGCGCCACGTTCACACTCTTGTCTCTAGCAGCGACAACTTTTACCCACTGAAGTCGGATCACTTTGTGCACTAGATTCCCCATTTTACCCCCTAGATTTAACAAAAGTCCTTGTAAATTCCAACCTTCAACGTGTTCAAATCTCGTTATGGGACAAAAAGTATAACAAACGTGACGTGAGAGGCCTCTTGTGGTGCAGGTGATGGTATAAGGGTAATTTGAACTGACATGTTCAGCTTTCCTGTTTTAATTGAACAAAAATGGAATTCACACCTGGAGACAGTGAAACACACGCGGGGACAATGTTGGTTTTTATTTTTAGAATATTTATTACTACATATACAAATATTTTATTTGAAAATTTTGGATCCTAGTTTTTTTTTTTCAATTTTGTAATAAAAATTTCTAACAGGACAATGAACCAAGTGCACATTTTCAAATAGATCAAATGTTTTATTTTATATTTTTTCTTTCAAGAAGCTCAACAAAAATTTTAAATTTCTATTTTTTATTAGAGTGGACACTCGCATCTGAACTAACTCACAAATTTCAGTAATTCAATGCGATCCTTCGTTTGAGTAGTAATACTAATAATAGATTTTTGAACTCACTAAATTTATTTGGCCCCATTATTTGGTATTATAATTTTTGGAATAGTATTTTAAAGAACGTGTGGTTGAAAAAGAATGTTTTTTTAAATTTATGTATAATATTATTTTATTAAATATTGTGTAATTAAAAAAAAGAAATAAATTTAATTGGGGGCGGCGGCAATAGGCGCGTGAAGATCTTTACGAGGCAGTTATGACGGCCACTTGCGCATTTCCGTAATTTTCTTAAAAGAGAAGGGCATATTTGTTACAATCAAAAACCCCCTGGGGACCACCCTCATTTATTCCACACTCCCACACACAGACGGCACTTCCACACGCAGCTCCACCCACCCCCTATATATACTCCCAATCCCGAACCTATACGTACAGAACACTTCCTTACCAGCAATGTCGGCCCCCGCCACCCATACGGATCCCTCGATTTGGCATGCCACTGCCGGCGCTGCCGTCGAAATCCCTACTGTCAATTCCCGCGTCTACTACTTCCCACAAGGTCACCTGGAACACTCCTTCCCCGTCAAAAACAACAATATTTTGCTCAAAACCCATTTGATTTCCTGCCAAGTCCTCGCCGTTTCGTTACTTTCCGACGCTTCCTTTGACCAACCATTCGCCAAACTCCGTCTCCTTCCCCTCCAGTCACGTGGGCAGCACGTGATTACAGAGAATGTTGAGAAAAGGGAAATGGACGAAAGCGACGTGGTTTCGTTCGCGAAGATTTTGACGCCGTCAGATGCGAATAACGGCGGGGGATTCTCTGTTCCCAGATTCTGCGCCGACTTGATTTTTCCCCGGCTCGATTTCTCGGCCGAACCGCCGGTTCAGAATCTTGTTATAAATGACAGCCAGAACAATGCATGGGAGTTTCGGCACATTTACCGAGGCACGCCGCGCCGCCATTTGCTCACCACCGGCTGGAGCCGGTTCGTCAACAGCAAGCGGCTCGTTGCGGGAGATACGGTGGTTTTTATGCGGAAAACATCGACCGGCGAATTGTTTGTCGGGATTAGGCGCGCGGTTCGGGAGATTGTTAGCGTTTGGAGCTGTCCAGTGGCTATGGAAAACTCGACAGTGAAAAATGAGTACGGTAATAATTACAATGTTGGTGATGGGAAGGAGAGAGAGGTAATAGAGGCAATTGAGACGGCAGAGAAGGGGATGGCGTTTGAGGTGGTGTATTATCCGAGAACGGGTATTCCAGATTTTGTAGTGAGCGCGGAGAAAGTGGAGGATTCGCTTAGTTTCTGCTGGAGCGCAGGCATGCGTGTCAAGATGGCTGTGGAGACGGAGGATTCCTCACGCACGACTTGGTTCCAGGGCACTATTTTGTCCACGACTTCCTCCAGTGGGGTGCCGGGGGGCGATTCTCCCTGGCGCATGCTTGAGGTATGTATACTTTTTGGCGCATTCTTGCTGATTTTCTGTCATTTTCAAATGAGGATTGTGTTTAGAAGATCATATGTTTTGTGGGTAATTGGGTCTAGGATTTGTCTTAAGTATGCGATCGCATAAGAATCTTGACATTGAATTATTATGTTTTTGTTCCATTGCCATGTTGATTGGAGTTCCTCAAATATTTAATGATAATGTTATATGGCATGCATATGAGGTATGTGCACTCGTTCGTGGATGCGTGCTGATTGTGTATTTGATTGTCGTTCGTGAATGATCATTATTTGTTGATAAGATGATTTGTTTGGTGGGTATTCGTGGCTAGGAACTGTCTCAACTCTTTTAAGTACAATTTGATAGATTGGGCCAGCTATGATAATAGTGTGCTAGACTGGACCTTAAATTGTTATTTTCTTGTTCCATTGCCATGTTGATTAGAGTTGGCTTTCTTGAATTTCTAATGATAATGTTGTATGTCATGGTTAACCTGGTCTGATGCTAGAATTTGGACATCTGATGAAGAATAGTAGTGTTTGTTTTATGGGAGATCAAGTGGTAATTCTGTACACTGGATTTGATTGGATGTGGTATAATGGTGAGGAATTTCATTGTTTGTTTATTGTTGTTCACGTGGTAATTTTGTATGTTTGATTTGGTCGGATGCTATAACATGCAATTAGGTCTGGGAATTGTCTTAAGCAAGATGTTGAGGGGCTTGCGATCCTTATCAGGTTGTCCGTATCAGAAGTATCAATAAGCCTCCTACCTAACTCAGAAAGTGAAGCAACCTAATCTCTTTAAAGCTGGACAACCCATTCATTTAAATGTACTTCTTTGATCTCGTAATGAGGTGCGTGTTGTTGCCTCCGAAATATATGCTGCCCCTTCACTGTCCTTCTTTCTTGCTCTTTCTTTTTAGAGGGATTTTAGTGTGCCCCTCCTCGGAGAAAGCTGAGGTCATTAGGATTTCCCTAATCGTCCATTCCCAAAAGGAAAATTTTATTGGGACAGCTAGGCTATAATGTACTAGACTGGACATGAGTTATTATGTTTTTGTTCTGTTCCATGTTGATTGGAGTTGGGTTTCTTGAATTTGTAATGATAATGTTGCATGACATGCTTAACCTGGTCTGATGCTAGAATTTCGACTTCTGGCGAAGAATATCCCTTTTTATTTTATAGAAGATCAAGTGGTAATTCTGCATGCAGGAATTGATTGGATGTCGTTGTATAATGGCGAAGAATTTTATTGTTTGTTTTATTGTAGCTCAAGTGGTAATTTTTTATTTTTGATGAGTTTGATGCTGCAACATGCAATTGGGTCTGGGCATTGTCTTAAGCAAGATGTTAAGGGCCTTGCGATCCTAATCAGTTTGTTATAAAACCTCCCAAATTAGCAAGCGAAGAAACCTAGCCGCTTTAAAGCTGAGATGACCCATTCATTTAAATGCACTCGTAGGATCCCGATGATGGAGCAAGCGTCATTGCCTATGAAGTCCCTTCACTGTCCTTTCTATCTCTTTCTTCTTGGAGGGATCATAGGATGCCCTTCCTCGGAGAATGATGCAATCATTAGGATTTCCTTAATCTATCTTCCCTTCCCGAAAGGAAGATTGTATTTACTGGGGCAGCTAGGAGATAGTGTACTGGACTGGACATTGAATTATTATTTTATTGATCTGTTGCTATGTTGATTGGAGTTGGTTTTCTTGAATTTGTAGTTAATGTTGCACGGCATGCTTAACCTGCTCTGATGCTAGATTTTGGACCTCTGGTGATGAGAATATCAGTGTTTGTTTTATGGGAGATCAAGTTTTGAATCTGTATACTTGATTAGATTGGATGCTGTATAATCGTGAAGAATTTGAAAGTTTGTTTTTATTGTGGAAGTGGTGATGTTGTTTGATTGGTCGGGTGCTATAACATGGAAAACAATTATAGCGGTAACGGTTTACGCTTGATTCGACCTATCATGCTATATTGTTGCAAACAATGTCATTGTTGGTTTCGTTGAAGTGGTCAATTAATATTCATGATTTGCTTGGATGTTAATCTTTAGGCGAATAAAGTTGGCACTTCTTTTCTTGGTAACTTTTGTCTATCAATGATGACAATGTAAGTTGGAAATTAATAGATCGGTGGTGAAAGTCATTAAGTACCAAAATTTTCACCAGGTGGTTGTTTGTTTTGCTGATAGATAATAATTACATCATTCGTGGCACTCAAGGTTCTTTGGGTTCTGGTTTCTTCAAGGTTGTCGGATTTAGATGACCTTTCTTTGTTGGGTGAAGATGTTTCCAAAATCTTTTAATGGGATTGCTGTGGCATTACTATTACCAGAAACTTTTTGTACTTCGCTCCTCATCAAGTTTTATTTGTATCCCATAAATATTGAATAAAGAATGTGATACGCATAGCTGTATTCCCTGCTTCCTTTTCAACTTTGCCTGAAGATCCTGTTTTGCTGTTGCAGGTGATGTGGGATGAACATCAAGTTCTGCAGAATGTGAAGACAGTAAGCCCCTGGCAAGTTGAACTTGTTCTTCCCACACCACAGTTTCATTCTGCACTTCCCCCTCTGAAAAAATTCAAAGTCCAGCAAGCTTCAGGGAAGCTACCCGATGGAGAGGGAGAGCTCTTCAGCCCTACTACAGAGTCAACTGACTTGATGATTGGACAATTGAACTCATCAACGTTCAGTTATAATTCATATCCTGCTGGCATGCAGGGAGCCAGGCTAGATCAGTTTTGTGCATCCACTTTATCTAACTCCCACAGTGATAATTCGCATCAAATGTCCACTAATTTCATGAAGAATGGCACACAACCTGAGCTGAAAATCTCCACAGAACTAAATATCGGAAGTTCGCGAGTGGATAATTTATCACCTGATAGTCAGAGCAGTGTGAACTTATCTTCCACTGAGTTAGTTGGAAAACAGGGATCTGTTTCTTCAATCCAGTTGTTTGGAAAGATCATTTCTACAGTACAGCCTGTCGAAGATTGTCCTGACAACAATGTTAATTGTGCTGAAGGTGAAAGAAATGCCGTGTACTGTGAGAGTGATGCTGTTATTGACAAGCAAGATCCTTCTTCTACAGACTCTAGTTCAGAAGATGTTCTATATGAATTAGTTGTTCTTGCTGACAATTAAATGCTGTACAGTGAATTTTGCTGTTGTTTCGTCATGATAGCTCCCTTATCCTTGCAGTATACAGTTGTACAATTTGGAAATTTGGTTAATTTCTTCTTGTCATTATAGAGAGAATGATGTGACTTGATCCATAAGTTTGGTTCCTTCACTTAGGTTTCTTTGGTCGCTAAACTTAAAGAACCAAGTTGTTTTGTGTTCGACTAAATGTACCTCTCTGCCTGAAAGTATACCAGAGTGATGCTGTTTTTCTCTTATGGAGATCAATAAAACAATAAAGTGGAGACGTGTTTTGCTCAATCAATAACATACTTTAATTAATAAGGGCAATGGCTCCTTAACTCCTTACCTCCAGAAGCCAGCAGCTCTTAGCTCAATAAGGTAAGTACAATTTTCTCCCTAATCCTTCCGGCAGAATACTGGAGAAGAGGAAAGTTACAGATTGAGCACTTGAAGGACGGAGACCTAAGCATGAAAATGAACAAATCTCCCTTTGTATTTTTCTGGCTGGGCAGAATGTTGTTTGACCTTTTCTCAAGGGAGTGGGAGAGTTGGGTTTAAGCTTGTAACTGACTGACAATTGTTATATCTTTTATATATTAAAAGTGGCTATGTAACGGAATTTCTTGTTTTTAACGGAAAAATTAACGGAATTTGTTGTTTTAACGGACTATATAATGGAATTTCTTGTTTTAAACTGGCAGCCGTACCTTCTGTCAGTGTTTTTATCATAACTTTGTATTCTGATATCCGATTGAGGCGATTCAAAATGCGTTGGAAAGCTAACTCATCTGGCTACAACTTTGATTCAAACATCATTCTCCAATTCGATCACTTTCTATACCAAAAATAGGTCTCAACATGAGACTAAAATATCGGAGCATAACTTTTCGGTTGAAAATTGATTTGTGATCATCTTTTGACTAAATCTGATTCCATTGACGTCTTCCTTTATCCAATT